CTGCCGCTGACTAAATACTTTATTAAACAAAAGTTATTTAAATAAACAACGAGCCAAAACTTAGTATTTTATACCCAACAATGTGTGAATGATTCGAGACAACAACAAACTCGCATAAAATATAAAAATAAGATGGAAAATAAAAACTTGTGTTTTGCTTTTGGTTTGCGTTTGGGTTTTTGGACAATCGTGTCGAATGTTAATTGTACAAATTTGTGTGCCGACTTTGCGGATCGCCTGTTGGTTTTCGGTTTTTGGTTTTTGGTTTTCGGTTTTTGGTTCTCGGTTTCGGGGGCAACACATGGCCCCCGAATTCGCAGTTGGTTTATTTACTTTGTAAGAGTTAATTATGATCAAGCGGTGGCCTGCACACAGCCCCTACAATACTATATATACGTGTCTATATAAATATAAATTCTGATTCTGCGGGCATGTGGGCTTCCTACTATATGTTATGATCCCGCAATGCAGTCAATGATCTTTCGTGGGTGTTGTGAAAATATAGAAAGCGCTGGGCTTCGGTTTGCACAGTATTTGATCGAACTCAGTTCTCACACTCGTCTGGCTTAAGTTATCGGCTTAATCGGTGTAGGTTATCGGTATTATCGCGCGGGACAAGCGCGGGTCACGTTTCCGACATTGTCGACATTTTCATCGGATTACTTTGGGCACCTCACATTTTTCGATCGCTCACTGGTAAAAAAAAACAATTACGTCGGCTTTGCAATTCGAAAAAAAAGAACGTTTAAACGTTAACGGAAAATGTCTTTTCCCAGGATTGAGGTTGTTTTCAGGGGTTTTCCTCGAGATCAGTTCGGTCGGAGAGATTTTTGGACTTTGGAGCAGCAGGAGCAGGAAAAGACGCGCACGTTCACTTTGCCAACGCAACAGACACTGGCGGGCATTGGCCAAGAAAAGCCACTCGGAAAATGGCCCGGCCACAGCTGACGGCGCGAGAGGAAAGGCCGGAGAAAAAATGAGAGCGGGGAAAATCATGTGGCAGAGAGCAGATCTCTGCGCTGCCAACAATTTTTGGGCAGCAGCAACACGTTCTCTGCTCGCGAGACACGCACACTTCCGGCGGCGAAAAACGGGGGGCGGTGGGTGGCATCAGCGGTCGCGAGTGGGGAAAAACTGGGAAAAGGGAGCGGTCCAGGAGCTGCACTCGCCGGCCATAAACAACAATGGTAGTTGCAACAATCTGTGGCCAGGCCCAAAAGCCTAGAACAAAAGGCATAGACACCCCTTCTTCTCTAAATAAATCTCCCTCCCTTCTTCGAGTTAAAAGTCAGAATGGCATTAAGGCATCGCATAGATTAGTAAGATTAGAAGTAATAAAATATCTAAGAAATAAAAAAATTAATTGATTTTAGTTATTTAATTTTTTTATATGTGATCGATCCTACAATTTCTGTTAAAAAAATGTATTTTGGTTGAAATGAATAAGTTCGTATTAATTGTATTTAAGGTATGCAAATGATTGTTTTAATAATCGTAAATTAGATAGACTGTTATCGACTGTTTTTAGAAAATATATTACACACGCTAAAACAATTTAGACCACTGTGCATTTGGGCAAACTATTTACATATTTGTATTCATTTCTCGCACACTCGCGAATGACAACGAAAGCGACAACGAAGCTAAGAAAGCAGAGGGAAAAGGAGTGTGGAGAAAGGAGAAAGGAGAGTGAAGAGAGGAGAATGTGAGTGACAACGAAAATGACAGCGACAACCCTACGAATACCCGATATCCAATGATTTGAAGCGACATCAAGAAGTCTGACTTTGAGCTGCAAACTCTTTGGATTGCAAGCATACACTCAAAAAAAATTTTAGTCAAAGGCTTGCTTAAGCAAAATAAATGGTAAAAATATTGCTTTAAATTATTTGGTTATTTTTCTTCTAAATAATTTTTGGTAAATATTTTGCTGCCTTTTAATAACATTAATGTATTAGGAAGTTTTCAGAAATACAGAAATTGCTGTTGTATGATAGAAATTAAACTTTCTATCGAACACTCTACAAGTTTTTCTGATTAAGCCCCGACTTAAAAAGATTTTCTCGCAGTGCCGCAATGAAGGGTTTCCGCTCTGCATTGTTGTGATTTCCGCTCATTATTGCTGCAATCAGGCGGCCGGAGCTCTTTGTCCTGTGGCAGGACATGTGACGTGGCGAGGAGCCGGAGCTGGGATTTATGCGTATTTTGATTCCTGCGCCTAGACATCATGCGGGGCATATCAATTGGAGTTTTATGAGGACGGGCACAGCTGGAGTGGTGGGCATAAAAACTGTCTGACATATCCGCTGGCCGATTTGATTAAGTTGTCCCAGCGCGACCAACTGACTTGGCACAGTGCTGGTTAAAATGTTGGGAAATGCTTTGTTTGTGGTTATCTAAATATATGATCCTTTCTATAATTAATTTTATATTCCTAATTAATGGATTAACCACTAATTTTTTGGTGAAGTTTTAACAATGTAAGATTATAGTAAAAATAATAGAATATTATATGTTATTTCCCCTTAGATTCTAGTACTTCTTCCGCGACTGTGGCTGTATTTGTATCTGAATCCCGTTCCGTATTTGTAGCTCGGCAGCTGCCGCAGTTGCCACAAAATCGGGAGTGAGTCGGCCGGAGGAAGTGTCTCAAAATTGAGAATGGCAACTGGAGGCTGGCCATCAAAATTCAATTGGTTTGAGGCACTACGTGAGTCGCCTAGCATACTCAGCCCCCGAAAAATATCCGTCTTGAGACAATGGCGGATCCCTCTGCATAATTCGGCCATTAGGCGATGTTTTTTGGCCCTGCTTTTCCGGGGATTCTGGCAGACAGTGAATCGGCGAAGACAATGTGCGGAAAAAGCCTTGCCTCGCCTCATTAATGCACCCGAAAAGCATAAAAACATTACCCGGATGGGAAATGCATGGGCTCTCTTCCGATTTTTCGCCATTGGGCCCAGCGCCAAATGATGCATTAAAATCAAAGGGAGGCGCGCCCTCGAAAAATAAAAACACGTTAATTATGTCTCAGACTGGCGAAAGGTATCCCTTGTATTTAGAGGTCATCTCAGAATAAAGGGTTGAACTGCAGGTGTTTTGAAAATTGCATTTGGAAAGTTAATAAAATTCATTCCCATGTTCTGCTGAAGACACATATTTCTTGCGAGGCAGAACATAAAAAAAATTAAGCGAATTAAGATGTTCCTGCGGCAGAAACACGCAGATATAAAACCAAATGGGATACAAAGGAATAGTAAATCCATAAAATTTGTGGTTATTGGGCAGATGAAGATCTGGGGAGCCGTTGCCCCAACCACTTTCATGTAGTTTCTCGTTTCCGACAAACACTTTGATGGACTGCTCGATGGTTTGTTGGCATCCCGCCCCTTTTGGAACCCCCCGCCCTATCGGCACCTCCTCCGATCTTTATCTTTATGATTTTATGATCGACAAGGAACCGCACACGCAGATTTTATGAGCGTTGTCAAATGGTTGCGTCAGTTCTCGTTGCGATCAGTAAGAAATATGATTTGTCAGATTGGGTATCAAAAACGTTTTAACGAGCTCATGTATATATCCCTTGTTATTTTTTTGTTTTGTTTTTGGGTATTCCCCAGGGGCATCAGGTGGGGACAAGGGGGGAGTCTCCCCTCCGAACCACACTTGCCACATAAATTATAATTTTTTAGCACCCGCTTGCCCAGCGGGTCGGTGGCGTAAATAAATAAAGTTAATGGAAATATCAAGCACACTGCGCATAAAATTGATAAAAGACGTTTACGCTTGCATTGGGAAGAGTTCGAAAAATGCGGCAGAGAAATACAGCGACCCGCCCATCGGTTCGGGTTTAAACGGGGTCAAGCGATTGCATTCAGAATGTTTTTTTTTTCGTTTTTAACAAAAATAGCGCAGACAAAATATAATAACAGAGCGCACAGAGCTGGAAGAACTGGAGAAAGCGCGTCCCAAAATAGTTCTTGCTTCTTTTTCCGGTACAGCAGTGGCGGCAATATTGCTGCCCCGCAGCAACACGCAACATGGTCGGGGAGCAACTGCAGCGTCTGTGCCGCATTAATGCATCATGCACTCGATTCTACGCTTTTCCGGACTAACAAAAGAGACAACGCCTCGAAAAGTGCGAAAGGTCATTGTTTTGCCAGTTGCTGGTGGCCGATTATTGGTGTTCCTGTGGTGATAACCACGTCCATTATTCCCCTGGGTTCGGCTAGACTGGTTTCCTTTTCGTCCCATACCTTAATTCAAAAATATTTGGGTATGGGTATTAACAATGTTGAGTTTCAAACAGCAGCCAATATTTGTATGCCACGGTTTTTAGGGATAAGCTAAAAAACATTCAAAAATTATTTATTTTCGATGGGGTTTGTTTTTTTTGTTCATTTTTCTTGACCCTTAAAAATGCTGCATACCAGGTTTTTTTCAATATTGCAAAATAAAATTTTGACAATTTTTTGAAAAATAAAAATTTATTTTTGATAGGGAATATTTTATTTTCGTTATTCTCAACGCCTAAAAATTCAGTATACCAGGTTTGTAAATTTTTTTTAAATTTTGACAATTAAAAAAACAAAAAAATATTTTTTTAATGCATAAGGTTTTTTTAAGTCATCACAAATGTTTAAGTTACTGTTAGTTCTTTGGACGGCTGCTGAAGAAAGTAAACACGCGGAAATTGCAATGGCTTTTTAAAACTTTTACAGAAAAAGTAAATAAAATGGGTAAAACCGGAACATAAGGAATTTGTAACCAACCAAAAAGCTTTGACAACTTTTCCGTTAGTCCTTAACCAAGCTCTATTTTGTATTGAAGTTTATAATTTTCCAAGAATTTTCCCAAAGCTCTCACTATTACAGTTCTACACCCGGGAAAAGCTGGAAATCGCTTTTATACAGTTTCGTTACCACAGGATGAAGCTTTTGTTTTTCAAGCTTTTGATGAAGGGATATGATTTTGAAAGAAAATGTTGAAAAGAGACTCACCTGAAAAAATAGTGTAAACGCTACCCATTGATAATATTTTGTGTGCTTTATTGTAAGAGGCCCGCGGCCCTGTGAATTGTGAACTCCGGGAAAAGGCACCTCGGAACCTTGCTTCTTCATAAACGCATCGACCACTGTATACGTTGAGTGTATCCAACAATATGTGTTGAGAACATCTTCGGGAATGTCTCTGCAATAAAAGATTTGGCGATTAATTAGAGGACTATCGAAATGGTCGATCAATTGAAGAGATTCTTGATTTGGGATCACTCACCTTGTATGTACACAGTCTATGGGATTTCCTACGTACTGCCGCGTCGTCACAGCAATCGAGAATGTGATCAGTAATATAACCGTTGCGTTGGTGTGCAGGCGAAAAACAGGTGAATCGATTTTGACATGAGACACCTGTTGTCCGTTATCGATGCGTTATCGGAGGATATCGTGTTTTGTGTGTGGTTTGTTTGGTGGGTTGTTGTTTTAAAAGGTGTTTTTCGGTGGGGACGAAGAGAGAGAGCATTATTATTGGAGGTATTGGCAGAGGTTTAGTTATATAAGTTCAAACGCAAAAAGTAACCCAAAATAGTTAAAAGAAAACGGATGGTGAGATAATTCTCTGGAACGCAAAACGTTTGCTATATGTCTGTTCTGAATGAAATCGAGAGGACTGCTCTCGGGTGCTTTATCATATGGGGTTATATATCTGGTTATGTACATTCATAAGCAATTTCTTTTCCGCTTTCAGGGGGCCTTACAATTAGCTAACTCACTTATCAGTAAATAGAGGGGACTCCAATTCGCTTGCAACCTGAAGATATATGTTTTTTCTTTGTATCTTTATTTGTTTTTACTTTAAATTTATTATTTTATATAAAAATATACGTTTCGAGTTGCATGCGAAGTAGAGAGTTTTAAGATTAATGCGAAATAAATACAATTTGCTTTTGGAATAACTCTCGAATTCATTTCGTTTTTTTACTTTTGTTATTTCTTATGGCAGGTAAGTATAGTAAGGTGTCACAGCAATTGTTTCGACTTCCTCAGCTAGCTTTAACATTCCTTTCTTTTCTGGTATTGAAACAAAACTCAAGGAAACTAAAAACTAAGGTTTATGTGTATGAGCAAGAGATATAAAGAGATAGAGAGAGGTGTGAGAAAAACGAAAAGTGATTGAACTGCTGGGAATGCAAATTTGGGGTTTTTTTTTTGCATTTAAGGCGGATATATAATTTACAGATCAATAGAGATGAGGACTTCTTTCGGAGAAGAAAAATTGACCAAATTTTGGCCGCCATGTATGATTTTTAACTTAAACCAATCAAAGTTCGCTGCAGATTTCGTTATCGAATTGGATTTGTGTCGACTGATAGATAGATTTTAACGATGACCACTTAATCGATATTCATCAAAATGTAATCGCTCGACTGACTGACTAGTTATGGCTGGGAAATCAAAAGACAACACAGAGTAAAGAGGGAGAGACCTGTGAAATTTCGATAATGGCTTGGTTCAGAATTGAGTTGATTTAGAATCGAATGCAGATTGATTGGCTGAGTGGTTAAGTGAGTGGTTTAGTGGTTTCAGTTAAATTGAAATTTGGAGTGGTGGTTCGTTTGTGGCGGCTTTGGCGAGGTGAGTTTCGTGAGCTGAGCTGTGGTGAGAGACATACTTTAAGAGGTGAATACTGAATACTGCAGTGATCAGTGATCAGTGGTCTGTGATCGTGGTGAGTTCTTTAACTTGGGTGCCACTTGGTGGTGAGTTGTGATCTGTGATCTGGGTGGTTGAGTGGTGTCTTTGGTGGTGGTGGTGTGGTTTAGTGGTGAAGTTGAGAACGCGAGAGCGAGCGAAACAGAGATAGAGTGAGATCGAGTGAGAGTGAGTACAATATAGAAACAAATTGAATATATAAGTAGTTAAATGTTATTTGAATTATATATATTAATACGTGGTGAAAAATCTAGGTGAGCTTGAGTTTGAAATTGAATTGAGTTGAGTTGAATTTAATTGAATGTGGCGAAAATGTACGAGAACTGCTTATAAAAGATGGTTGAAAATCGGTTTACGTTTAATCTAGTTTTTAGGTAAAATCAAACACAATACACAAGTTAGAGTGAGACAAACAGACATAGAGAGCGAGAGAGATACATATATTATATATAGGCATATATATTTACTGAGATTGTGAGAAATAGAGTGTGTGTGGTAAAGAGAGACAGATAGCGCGGCAAAGCTGGGTACTAGGCTTAATAATGTTCTGATTTTATATTCGTTTTAATATTTTTTAGCAACCCAGATAGACAATAAACATTTTTAGCAAACATCCATCTGGGCCCTGGCCATACCTACAGGTGGTTTTATTATGTTTAAGTTCTACCATTTGTTCACTTTTTTAGCTTTACAATTTTGATTTAGTTATAGCAAGTTTGGAGTTTTTATGTAACTTTGCTTAGGTCAATTTGAAACACAAAATCGTAATGACGTCAATTACATCTGGTTACTGAGGGCATTCAGCTAGCTATTAGTTATATAAAAGTATAGATATGGTACGAATATAGTTTGGTTTGTTTCTGTTTGATATCTGCTATTGTTTCATTGGTTACTGTTGCTGTGGAGTCTGGCGTTTGTATCTTGTATCTTGTAGTTTGGAGTTTTTGGTTTCGAGTTTGTTGTTTGAAGTTTGGAGTTGTTTGTTAGTTGCGGTTTATTTCTTTACTGGTTTCGACTTACTTTCATGTTATATATACGAAATACTTAAAGCTGACAGAGATACATACATGTATATAAATATAGAGAGTGTGGTTTATTATCTTGAAGTTGCTTTATTATGTTTTTGTTTTGGTAACGCTTGCTTTTCGTTTGCTTTTCTTCTTTTTTTTTTTGTATTTTGCTTTTCTTTTGTGAGGTGGGGTCGTGAGATTGCGTGAGAGAGAGAGAGACATAGTTTCATTTGGTGAGTAAGTGAATCCGTGATTGAGTGATCGAGAGAGAGATAGATAGTGAGTAGGTTTATATAGGTTTCTTTTACTTCAATTTATTTTGCTTTAGTTGCTGGCATTTAATTTAATGTTTTAAGTTTAGTGTACTTATGCAGATACAGAGAGAGAAAACGGGGTCTTCACTTTTGGCAGCCGACGACGATTCCAAAGTGAGTAGAGAAAGATGGAGGGAGGAGTTTGGGCTTTCGGATAGAGACAGCGTGATTGTGAGTTAACGTGACAGAGATAGACAGAGCGGCGTGATTCGTGAGACGGAAATAGAGCGTGAGATTGGGTCACTAATTTAGTTATCCGGGGGCCCGGAAATCTCCAAACAGTCAATTTTTTTCAACTTATAAAAATTATATAGGTATATTAAAAAAAACACCAGGAAAAATTAATAGTGGTTATGATTTAAAAAGCCAATAAATTTTAAGTATACCCAGGTGATTTTATTATTTTTATTATAACTAAAATACAAGTTGTTAAGTTAATTTTAAGAGTGACTTTCAATCCGTCAGAGATTTCCAGATTTTTACCGGGAGGGTTTTTAATTTGGGATAACTGGCTTTTAAAGTGTGCTGGCGTGTGTGAGCTTTTTTTTCGGCATTTGCTAATTTGATGCTGATTCGTGACTTTGGTGACTTTTGGTGATACGTGACTTTAGTGACTTTGGTGAACTCGTGATCGTGATCGTGACTTGGTGTTTGTTCGTGTCCTGTGCTTTTAGCGTGTTTCACTTTTAGCTGTTTTTGCTGTCTTTTTGGAAATGTCTTATCATTTTGTTGGGCATTAAGATTTTGCGATACGCATTGTATTTTGCTGTTGTAGTTTTGTGGTGATTTTGGTGAGAGGCAGAGGCAGATTTTTGCATTACGTTCATCACAATTCAATTGGCACAGTATAAATATATATTTTTTCGGTTTGGTTGGCGTGAGTTCTGTTGGGATGTTGGGTCCAAATTGGCAGAGTTTATACATTTGAATTAGCAGAGGTCAATCTTTATGTGAGGCGTTTACTTTTGGATTTCTGGGTGGTTTTCTCAAATATAAATATATTTTTTGTTTTAGCACTTTCCAGGGTTTGGACTCGGGTTCGAACACACACTATACAAAAAAACACATCTCATATCAACGACAGAGAGGGCAAAAGATGGAGGAAGAGAGATATTTAGAGAGCGAGACAGAGAGATTGGGGCAGACGAAGAGGGAAAGTGAGCTGCGAAAAGAGACAGAGCGATGATCTTCGAAAGGCGTAAATCAAAGGTAAAAGTAGGGAAAACCATAAAGCGAAAGTGTCTACGTAACGAAATCGAAACGGGCAAAGAAAATGGGAAATGCGCGCACACATAAAACAGAAACAGGCCAGGGGGTGGATTTTCCGGGGGCAGGCTACAGCGCGACCCATGCATTTAGGTCCTGTCATCCAAGATCCAATAGATATGTATATTTTGCCAGCGAGGATTCATACTTCAAAACATCCTCTGGTTGTTTAACATCAAACTCTTAACCTCTGCTGGAGATCCCCACTTAAGCACCTTATACCGATGGCCTGCACTGTACGCCGATCCCCATCCCGCGGAGTGGAGTCCAAAATCCTTTGACCAACCCAATCTGGCCGAGTGCACCCTTGGGTTATAATGGAATTCAGCCCAAGTGGATGAACAACCCCCTTTTCCTCGCCGCCCTTGTGTGGCAGGGGTGTATGTAAGTAGCATGTGTAATAAGTATCATGTGCGCTGGACTGACTTACTCAGGGCTGATTAACGAAATGAGGGCCAGAAGACTTCGACTACGGACTACGGAGACTCCTCCCCGACTGACTGACTTATGCCCAGTAACCATAACAATGAATTTTATGCCCCCTTTCGCCGGTCGCCCAGCACCAATCCCCCTTTTCGCCTACTGGTAACTGCCACTGACTGTCGACTGTTAGTGCCACTGTTGTTACACATAGAGAAACGTTTGATGAAGCTTTTTAAGGACAACATTCGCTAAAAAACTAAACAAATATATGGAAAAATAAAAAATTAATAAACACAATTTGGACTTCTTCTAAATAAATTTTGTGTTTGGGTAACATTAACATATTTAATTAAATGTTTTTAAGTTTGTGGACAACTAAAATACAAAATATATAAAAAAATTCAAGTAAATTTAAAAACCTCCGAATTTTACAAAATTTCTGTTTGTGTAGCCACTAAATGGGGAAGCTCAGTGGCTCCGGCTCGTTTCTGCTATTAGAACAACATTGGCAATATATTTGGGGCAATAAAAATAAGCTTTTGCTACAACAAGGACGCACTGGCTTTGTACTTGTACTGGCTTGCCCCGCATTTGTTATTGTTATGGGTCCTGCCGCAGTGCTTGCCACTTACGCTTCATTAGGATGCGTCTAAGAACTCTTGCAGCCAGTCAATAATAAATTGAA